CGCTTACCCGCGCCCCACTCCTGACTCTCCCCTCGCTTACATGCACCCCACTCCTAACTCTCCCCTCGCTTACGCACACCCCACTCCTGACTTTGCCCTCCCTTACCTCGCTAACCCCCAACATTGATTGTCCCCGAAACCAAGGGATTAATTGAGTAGGGATGCCCTTTGATGATAGGTAAAATTTGGAAAATATGGAAACATGCAACCCCTTGAATAGTCAACACAAAAGATCATGCCTCCATCATCGAAAGGAAAAACCTCAAGTTGTTCCAGATGAAGTTAGTAGCAAGTGACCGTTACCCATCAAGATACTTTGCGCCAATCGCATCCAACCCAACTCCCTCCATCCCAGTCTCATATGTCCTTCCTAACTCCGTCCTCGTAAAGAATTTCAGAGGACCGCTTCTCAGCAGGGGGTGAGCACCATCATCACCCCGAAGTTCCTTGCCCCCACAAAAACTCCAGTCTCCGTCCTCAAAGGGGTGAACTAGCGTTACCCAACGGAATCGCGCCAAAGCTCGCCCTCATTAGTCGGTACCCATCGGACAACCTAAACTACCCAACGCTAATCACATCTGATAAAAGCTCCCCCTAGCCGGTACCCATCAAGCAGCCCTATTCCATCCCCCTCTCCGTCCTTGTAAATAATCATTCCATGCCCCTTCCCCCTACTTCAAAACAAATCCCACAAAACCCTACAAGATACTTCACTTGACTATCCCATGGGGCCCTTGTTAAGACCCTGACGAAACTCTGACGAGAAAAGGACAAATTCAGGAAAACAAGCAACCCCAGAAACAAAGAACCTGAACAATCTTGCCTCCATCATCGAAAGGAAGAACCTCATTCGTCCTCCCAAACTCCGTCCTCGTAAAGAGTCCAGAGAACCTCATCTCAACAAAGGGTGGGCACCATCATCACCCTGAAATTCCTTGCCCCCACAAGAATTTCAGTCTCCGTCCTCAAAGGGGTGAAACAAATGTCAATTGCGCCAAGGCTCACTCTCATCGGCCGGTACCATTGGACAACCTAAACTACCCAATGCCAATCTCATCTGATAAGAGCTCCCCCTAGCCGGTACCCGTTAGAAAACCCGATTCCATCCCCTCTCCGTCCTTGCGAAGAACATTTGATGCCTTTTGCCCCCTACTTCAAAACAAATCCCCCAAGACCCTACAAGATGTTCCACTTGACCATCCCATGGGGCCCCTGTTCAAAATTCTAATGAAACTCTGACGAAAAGAAATAGGTCAAATGTTGAAAAACAAACCATCTTGCCAAAACAACCCTAGAGAATTGACGAGATTTAGGACTTAGGAATCACAACATTTTTAAAAAAAAAACACATTGGAATGTTTTTGAAATTTCTAATTAAGATGTCCAAAATGAATTTCCGATTATGAATTCAGAATATTAATCAGAAAAAATCCGGAATTGTAATTTTTAAGGGTTACCATTTAGGAAATTAGAGAATTGCAATTTTAACTATGATGACAAACTAGAAATCGAGGTTGTGTAATTATTTAATATAAAGGTAACGAAAATTTCTTGAAGGGATTACTTTGTAGAAAATACATTAAGAATTTATATGATGAGAATATGAAATATGAGAATTAGGA